CACTCACCTCAGCCTCCTAAAGGCGCGGGATTACAGGCTGAGCCACCAAGCCTGGCTACTGTCCGTATTCTTATTCAAAATATCATACGAAAATTAAGATAGAGTCAGCAGTGGTGGCTCACACCTGTAATCTCAGCACTCTGGGAAGTAGAGGCGAGAGAACTGCCTGAGTCCAGGGGTTTGAGATGAGCCTGGGCAACTTGGCAAGACCTCGTCTTTACAATAAATTTTTTTAAAAAAATTAGCTGGGCATGGTGGCGCGTGCCTGTAGTTCCAGCTACTTGGAAGGCTGAGGAGAAAGGATCGCCTGAACCCAGCAGGTCGAGGCTGCAGTGGCTGTGAGCGTGCCACTGTACTCCAGTCTGGGCAGCAGAGTGTGACTCCGACTCAAAAAAAAAAAAAAAGGAAAATTAAGATAGAATGACAGCACATAAAATCTTAAATTTAACATTTTAAACTATAAGTTAATTATACTGTTATACCAATTAGCATAAAAAAATTACCTTTATACCAAAGTGAAAAATTAACCCAAGATGAAGTAAAATATTTTTTAAATCATCAAGTTTTAAAATAGTGTATAACCAATGGTTTATTTTCAATGACAAAACTAACACTGACTTCATTATTTATACTTAAAACAAGTAAAATGGTTATTCAGCAATATAAACATATAAACACAATATATCCCTTTGTTTCTGAAATTCAATTGCTTTGTTAATGGCAGCACGTATCATCTACCACAGACAGTAAGAAACAAAAGTCACCTGTCACAGAAACAATATTAAGTAGTCTTCTCATGGTCTGAGGACTGATGTCACTGAACCAGTCCTCAGTAACCAGCAGTTTTGTAAGGTCAAAGGACATCTGGCGGGTGATCGTCCGCTGTATCTGCCTTCTTCGGTAAGTATCCTGAAACAGCACATCAGGTCTGAGAATCTGAGGCTTTTTGAGATGCTAATAAATGTTTATGACAACGATCACAAAAATTCAAAATGTGAGTCAAGAGAAATATTATACAGTAATGTTACTATTATCCCTGAGGCAGAATCTTTACAGAGCAGTTATAAACTAATATTAGCAACTTCATCAAATGTGGCTTAGCTTTAGATACATTTTGAATGATAGTTGTACAGTTAGAGATTTTAAGTAAGCAACGTCTTTAAGATTATAAGTAAGCAGACTCTGTGAAAAGTATTATAGTTAAACTCTATGGGGTCAATTTATAGGAACTCTGAAATAATATAGCAAATAAGCCCTTATCTGGTTTTTAAGGATTCAGCATTTTGATTTTTAGGTTATTTTGAAATGTGCAACGACTCTGTCAAGGGGATATCTACTCTAACTATTCTCACACCTATGTAAGAACTAAAAGCACTCTGTTTGGATGGGCTAAGGAATTCCATCTCATAAGAGGCATAAAAATATAGTCTAAAGATCTGATGCAAAGAAACAGTGGATGCAACCATAAGGTGCCCAAGAATCTAGACTGCCAGGAGAGAAATTCAAAATGATAAATCATATGCCCCTCTAAATGTATGCTATCAACTGTCATTTATCATATTAACTTTTCATTCATACCTATGAAGTGTAGAGGCATAAAAAAATGTCACTGAAGACTTTCTTTTTTAAAAAAAAAGTTCAAATTTAATGATAGCAAACCAGAAAAAAACACAATACCAATGCTAGCCCAACTTAGTTGTCCCTAAGTGGCACTGAAACCACAACTCCCCTGCAAGCGCACGCCCTTGTTCCACACAAGTAAGATGGGGAGGAAAGGGACAACTAAAGCACTAGAGAAAACCAATAGCACAAAACCTAGAAAAAACACTGCACATCCCACAAACATCAGGGGAAAAGGAAGGCCAATAGGAAGACAAAGCCAGGGGTCCTCTCATGCTACAAACCTCTTTCTGCTGTGGCGGCAATGGGCATAATCTCTACCTGAATACAGTGGTTCCACCCTGGATGAAATCATTTGGTAAGCTTTAAAATCTCTCACTCTCAGAGAATTCCACTGGATTGGCCTGGGTCTGGAGCAGCACTTGGGCTGAGAACAGGTTGGGACAGGACAGGGACCCCTACACAATGTACAGTTGTTAGGGCTCTAGCTGCAGGCATTCCCTGAAAAACCTGAAGCTGAAAGGAAATTCAATGATAACATTTATTTGAAAGTTTAACGCAATATTACTTAAGTGGCATCACCTTAATTTCATTTATATTCAAATAAACAGCAATACAAACATATAGCTCAAAACCAGCAGCATCTTACCCGTCTATTGAGGGCTGTCTTGCTACCAAGTTTTGTCATCTCCCCAAGGCTGTTTTGTGAAACTCTTCTGTCAGCATCTTCCGGTATCCCTTGAAGAATTTATCAACAGAGCATCATTTACACTAAAATTCTGCTGCATGTGACATTTAGAGCCACAAACTACCAACAGTATTTTTCAAGGTAAAAACGAGAGTCACCATATAACTATGCTATAAAACTACTTCAAACCCAAAGTACTTTAGGGGCTTGACCTTTACCTGCAGTATCCGAGCACGGAATGTCCCCATTTGTTGTAGAAGTCACAAGAAATTTTCTTGCATTGCTTAGTCCACGACTATTGAGGAAAACAGGCAAATGAACTATGTTGCGCATATAGTCATGTCCATTTATATTTGAATCACGAAGCACACTATTGAGGTTCTGGTTAATCGCCTTTATGATAATATGTGGATCACTCGCAAAAATGGCAATGAATGGCCCTTTTGAAAACAGAACTCGAACCTATGGTAGAAAAAATACACAGTTGTGACATAAATTTTAAATTATCCAAGATAATAAGACATCTCTCTTCAAAATATGTGCTATCCTTTGGTGACTATATTTTTAAAATAGCATTAAAATTTATTATATATGAAAGCAAATTTTACAGACACTTCAATCTGGGTTTGTTGTCATCTGACACCAAAAAAACCTGCAAGCAAAACAATTAATACTGTCCTATGTTGAGACACTTATGGTCGGCAAAAGAGGTAAGACCAACACACATGAGAAATATTCATGAATACACAAGAGGTCTGGGCACACTGGTCTCTACCCACAGTTAAACCACTGTTGCTTACAACATACCTTACACAGAAAGTCACCGATGTACCTACCTTAACAAAAACTCTACAAATTCTCTGGGTTTCTTATATTTTTTCAGATTCTAGTCACAATTATCTACAAAGAAAAGCTGGAGCCATGCTATGAAGGTACTCTCAAGAGTATCTAAGAGATACTCTATTCATTTTCTCACACAGCCATTAAGTTAAAATTATTTAACTCTGTAATGAAACATTATTCTTGCTATGTTTCTGTGTAAAGACTGGTTGTTTGCAAACATAAGAGAAACAAGTACTTGTCAAACAGAAACCAGAGTTTCTGTTCCATTTGAGATATTTCACAAAGTTATGCATCCTCTCAGTTGCCACAACATAACAACAAGTTTCAAGGTGGTTCAAAACATACAGTGTCCAGCATCTGAAGGACTTTATCCTGCTCACAGGCATCTAATCCATCGATGATAACCACCAGCCTTGTCTGATTCTGAGTGAAGCTGTCAATGGTTTTTGCCATTCTGGCCATCAATTCCACTTCCCACTTAAGAACCTGCACAAAGGAAAGTATAGACAGCATAGAAGATAGGAGAAGTGTAAACACATTTCTTAAAAGGCACAATAGAAAGTCATTTAATAGAAAGAGAAGACATTCTAAGTCCTTGCTGCCAGTTGTGGTCCCACCTAAAACTAGCAAATGCTCCACAATTTACAAAGTGACCACATAGAAATTATAGCACTCAGAATGACACCAGAAAGCAAACACTATATATCCATTTTTTTTTTTTTTCATTAATCAGTATTTTTTATTATGGTTTTGTGGGGTACAGTTAAGGGTTAGGTGTACAATGACGTTTCATTCAGGCACCCTGTCTAAATAAAAAGTGTTTTCCCATCCCCCGACAGATATTTGCTACTGTTAATCCCATCCCCCTCCCCCCCATAGTTTCCCAGTACCATCCGTCATTTTCTCATAGTATTGCATTGGATGTTCAGGACCATTATATGAGTGAGAACATGTGATATTCGGATCTTTGTTTCTGTGAGAGGTCACTCAGTATTATAGACTCTAGTTCCATCCAGGTTGCTGCGAAATTCATGATTTTGTTCTTTTTTATGGCTGCGTAGTATTCCATCTTGTATATGTACCACATTTTTTTAATCCAGTCCTCTTTTGATGGGCAGCATGGTTTCTTCCAGGTTCTTGCTATTGTGAACAATGCTGCGATAAACATACGTGTGCAGGTATCTTTTTTATAGAGTGATTTGAGTTCGTCAGGGTATATTGCCAGTAGGGGAATTGCAGGGTCATACGGAAGGCCGATTTTTAGAGCTTTTAGGAATCGCCACACTGCTTTCCACAGAGGTTGCACTAGTTTACACTCCCACCAACAGTGTAGAAGTGTTCCCTTTTCACCACACCCTCTCCAGCAGCTGTTATTTTTTGAGTTGTTGATAATTGCCATTCTGACTGGAATTAGGTGGTATCTCAGTGTGGTTTTGATTTGCATCTCCCTGATGATTAGTGAGGTGGAGCAGTTCTTCATGTGTTTGTTGGCTGCTCGGATGTCTTCTTTTGTGAAGACAAGACATGTTTAAGAATTACAACATATGAGTCTCACATGAGCAAAACAAGTAAAATAAAATTATCATTGCTGG